TAGGATCCTAAGGAAACATGACCCAAAGTGGAGGGGAGTTCAAGATGAGTGGTTGCTTCTCAAGGGAGCAATCCTGCATGCACAAGCAAAGTCTGTCCCATCGTGGAGGAAAGGCAGCAAAAGGACACAGCAGCCCCCTTGGCTCTGCAGGGAACTGGCAGACCTCCTGCGTCTAAACAGAAAGACCTACAAAGGATGGAGGACTGGATCCACCTCCATGAAGGAATATTCTGCACTGCTCCAGACCTGCAGGGAGTGAACCAGGAAAGCCAAGGCTGTGACTGAACTCCAACTAGCTACAAGTATCAAGGACAATAAAAAGTCCTTTTTTAGATATGTGGGGAGCCGGAAAAAAAGCAAGGCCAACATTGAACCCCTGCTTAACCGGATGGGATAACTGACAACCAATGCCCAGGAAAAAGCCAACTTGCTAAATGGGTACTACGCATCAGTTTTTCACCAGTACCAAGGCATGCCCCTGCCCATTACAGGGTGGGAAGGCCCAGGTGAGGGAGATTCTTTACCCTCCATTAATGCTGACCTTGTGAAGGAACACCTTGAGAGGCAGGATACCTTCAAGTCAGCCGGCCCTGACAGTTTACACCCCAGGGTGCTCAAGGAGCTGGCGAGCATCATAGCCCAGCCCCTGGCACAGGTCTTTGAAAACTCCTGGTGCTCTGGTGAAGTGCCTGAAGATTGGAAGAAAGCCAATGTGATGCTTATCTTCAAGAAAGGGAGGAAAGTAGATCTGGCTAACTATAGGCCCATCAGCCTGACCTCTATCCCAGGGAAGGTCTTAGATAAGATCAAAGAGGCCATTCTTAACAGACTGGCTGATGGCAACATCCTGAGGGATAGCCAGCACAAGTTTGTTACAGGTAGGTCTTGCTTGACCAATCTCATTTCCTTTTACGACCAGGTGACCTATCACCTGGACACAGGAGAAGAGGTTGATGTCATATATCTTGACTTTAAAAAAGCCTTTGACCTGGTATCCCATGATAACCTCTTAGCAAAACTGGCCAACTGCGGCCTCGGCTTCACCACAATCTGCTGGCTGGGGAATTGACTCTGTAGTCAGACCCAGAAGGTGGTGGTTGAAGGAAGCCCATCGTCGTGGTATGCTGTGACCAGTGGGGTCCCTCAAGGCTCTGTCCTTGGGCCTATACTATTCAACATCTTCATTAATGATGTGGACATTGGTATCCAAGTTCGTCGATGACACCAAACTTTGGAGTAAAGCGTACATACCTGAGGGCAGGAGGGCAATCCAGGCTGAGCTGGACAGGCTCAGAAAATGGGCAGGCGAGAACCTGATGGTGTTTAACACTGAAAAATGCAAGGTTCTCCACGTTGGGAAGAAAAACCTGCAGCACCCTTATAGGCTCAGCAGTGGTACGCTGGCTAGCACTACAGATGAAAGGGACTTGGGGGTCATCATTGACCACAAGATGAACATAAGCCATCAATGTGATGCTGCAGCTAGTAAAGTGAGCAAAATGCTGGCTTCCATCCATAGATGCTTCTCAAGCAAATCCCAGGACGTCATTCTCCCGTTGTGCTTGGCCTTGGTGAGGCTGCAGCTGGAGTACTGCATCCAGTTTTGGGCTCCACAATTCAAAAAGGATGTGGAGAAGCTTGAGAGAGTCCAGAGAAGAGTCACGCACATGATCAGAGGTCAGAAAAACAGACCTTATGATGACAGGCTGAGAGCTATGGGACTGTTCATCCTGGAAAAGCGCAGGCTCAGGCACGAGCTGGTGGCTGCCTATAAGTTTATAAAGCGTGCTCACCAGGATCTGGGGGAACGTCTGTTCACCAGAGTGCCCCAAGGGATGACAAGGTCGAACAGTCACAAACTAGACCGTTTCAGGCTAGACATAAGGAAGAACTTCTTTACTGTCCGCGCCCCCAAGGTCTGCAATAGGCTGCCGCCGGAGGTGGTTCAAGCACCTACTTTGAACGCCTTCAAGACACATTTGGATGTTTATCTTGCTGGGATCCTATGAACCCTGCTGACCGCCTGCCCCTGGAGCAGGGGGCTGGACTTGAAGATCTTCCAAGATCCCTTCCAGCCCTAATGTCTATGAAATCTTTGAGGTGACTTTCTGGACTTTTTGAAGGGCTCTTGGTTGGACTTTTGAAGGGTTCTTGCTTGGAGTCTTCTCAGGAGTTTTGGCTGCAGGTTTTTCTAGAGTCTTGTCTGCTTTCTTAAAGAAAGCATCCGAGGATATATAGACAGATGTTCTCCAGGGAGATGGGTGATGCAATAAACTTGTCCACTGGCGTGGCGCTACATCAGAAAGTCATAACAAGGTGTCAATTTATAAACATAAGTGCCATTTGTTGCAACTCAAAACATCTTAAGTTGAGGACTGCCTGTATAGCCTACAGTTATAATCTGCCTCAAGGGAAAAGAAAATAAGATCTACTAAGAAAAGCGAGGAGGTTTATAGTACATGAAAAATATTCTGATATTGCCTCACAAGAGCAGATTAAAATTAGAGCAGGGATTATCAACCTGCTTAAACTGACAGTCGTACTTTTGCTTCCAGAGCCAGTGGTGGCTACTGTATCTCATTTATTCTACAGCTCCCTTGGCTATCTTCACATGGCCCATGTGCTTTGTCTGCACAGATTGTTGTGGTCAAGCACCTGCTATCATGCACTGGTTTTCTACTGGTTTACTTGCACTGCAAGTTGCCAGTTGGAAACATATTTCAAATGCTTTGGAGTATCTAATAGCTTTGAATCAGCTATTAGATAACAGCACCAAAAAGCCACACTGACGCACCCAATTTATACAGATGCTGTGGAGTCAGGTTGAAATAATGCACTGCTTCTTCTGGTAAAGTGCTTTTGTGGGAGATAAGGGGGTGTTAACATCCACGGGCAGCCCCTTCTTTCCACAGTTCTCCCAATAGTGCTGTTTTTCAGGCTATTACCTGCTCCCACTCAGCCTAGTTGCAAGTAGTAGGTTGCAACTACTGCCCTGAGATAGCTGCTCATCTGTCTACTCCAGATCCGGGTATAATTTACACTGGTGTACAAAAATCATGTAAATTACATAAGTGTAACTGGCACATATTCAAGCCCTGCAATTTGCACTGGCAACAAACTAACCACTAAATGTGATGCCTGTATACAGCTTCATTCACAATTGCTACCATCAAGGAGCAAACTGTAGCCTGTGTTCTGAGAGCAACAAATCACAAAGCCATGTTTCTTGGGAATAGTGGGTTCTATACAATGAATGGTACTAAATTATTAACAATATTGGATATAGTACTGTTTACATCTACAACCCTTAGAGGCAGCCCAGTTATTTCCAGGTAAGTCCTAAGTATGCAGTACTACTAAGATATCTGAGGGTCTTAGGCTGCCTCTCACTTCCCAGGCTGGGAGATATTGGGGTGCATCTATATATACACTTTACTGTAGAGCTAACTAATTAGCTCTGCAGTAAAGCATTACCATCTACACATATATCTGTATTAGGACACAGTAAACTAATTAACTCCACTGGGTTATTTGAGCCAAGCAGTCTTTCCTGCCCAGAGCAGGGGAGCTGGACCCAATGATCTCACAAGGTCCCTTCCAGCTCTAAGTTTCTGTGAAAGTGTGTATGTAAAATAGTACTGTAGGATAGTACTTGCTCAGGACAGCAGAGTAGTTACATGCACCTAAACACCTGTGTAGACAGTGACTAGGGCTGGCTGGGGCACAAGGGTGCTACAGTGTGCCATATAGCCCCACACTGTATCACCTTCATGCCCCAGCCAGCCCCTCCGTAGCATGTTTACTGCTACATGCTAATTGCACATTTAGATACACTCACTAGCAGTACTTGTCAAGTATGGGTTTGTTTGTTTTTTAATGTAACTGGGGACTTGAAGGGTTTTTTTGGGTTTTTTTTAAATGTAGCTGCCCCATAAGGTAATCAGTAACACAGTTCATGGAGTCCTGAAGGGGTTGTATTTCACACTGTGGGAAGGAAATCCTAGCGATGTGGGTCAATAAGTATATACAGTGGTGGGTGAAGGATCAAGTGCCACTTCTATTTCTTCCTCTGTGCCCTATCCTAAATGCCACACTGTCCCAGGATCTTTGAAATATATCACAAATGTCAGTGGAAGTTAGTACCTACATGGGCTTAGAATGTGCATCAGTTCATCCAAGATTTGGATCATCTGCTTTCACAATCCTTCCCTTTGCTTCTCTACATAGCAGTTACTGAAATGCACCCAACTCTACTTTCTTTCAAAGACTCACAAACCACTTTCAAGAGAACATGCCAGCTAAATTCTAGGGCTGTGTGTAGACAAAACGAGGGGCATGTATGCATGACACTTTAAAGCAGGTTAAACACTTTTGCACTGCTTTAATGGTGTTGGTGTTTGCATGTGTCGGTGGTGTATTACGCATTAATTCCAGCCACAGTAGCAAATTCGGTGGCATAATGTGCCTTAAATGACTTGGGGTGCAACTCCTGAGGAGTTTTAGTTTTCTGCCCTACAGCTGCGGAGTGAAGCACTGGGCTCTGTGCAGCTTAGGGTCTCTGCAGGAAGCCTATGCAGGCAGCCTGGCAGCAGCCCGGGAAGGCAAGCTCTGCCCCTCTCCCCCCATTCCCCCAAGAAGTGGCGAGCCTGAATTCCCTCCTCTCCCCCCAACCGAGCCTGCTTGCCTGAGCTGCAGGGGGCCCAGTGCTTCCCTCTGCAGCTGCAGTGCCCCCCAGGACCCTTGAGCCAGGTGCCCGTAAGCAAGTGCTGCCTGTGGGGGGCCACCACTGTCACAGAGGGAAGCACCAGCCCCCCCTGCAGCTCAGGGACCACTCCACCTGCCGGCAGCTTGCTCTCCCCTCCCCTGCATGACATGGGGGTTTAAAGGGCTCTAAATTGAAGCAGTATTTTTAAAAACCCACCACTTCAGTTTAGGGGCCCCGTGTCATCTACACACACCCTAAGAAAAGAGTTTATAGATTACCTATTTTTGGAACTTACATCGCTTATCTCCAGCCAGGACTTCTCCAAGATGTTACTATACATGTCGCTGACTTCCAGCCCCTTCTCCAAGTAGAACTGACTCTGCTCTTCATGACCCAACATCAGAAAAACATAGGCTTTCAGGTGGTAAATCCTAGCATAATAAATAGGGCTTGTAGAGCATCGAGAGAAAACTTCTTCCAAGGTCTAACAAGAAAACATTTGAAAGTCATGTCAGAAGAAAGCCCAAGAGCTTTGAGACATACCGTATTACAGCACAGGTATCTCCCTGAGGAGACAACAAACCAGTGGAAGCAGGAATGAAATATAGTCCAGAAAGGATTCAGATTGCATGGATTCATCTCTGTCATGCTCCTAAGCAGGACTCTGTAACTTGGCTACCCAGAAGTCTTTCTTCCTATCTTCAAGACAATTCCCTTTTGGGAATTTTCATGAGCATAGGAACCTGCACTCCATTCAGTTGATTGCAGGCTTCCTGTGACCTAACTCCTGCTTGCAGGGAGAATCTAGAAGCTTAAAATGAATGTGGTGGGGAGCCACCGTGATCTTAATAGCATGTTTTGCTGTTTCCTTGCAACATCAAAATATTCCATTGTGGTTTGTTCACCCAAACGATATGCAATAATTACTGACTCTCAAAATATACAACCCAAGTGCACTGGTAACAAACTATTGCTGTTATATAAGAGATAAACCCCATTTGTTGAGTCCCCCATTGATTTCTGGGTTCTAACATCATCAAACTCAAGTTTCTGTCTTCCCTATAAAGATCAACAGTATAGAACAGGGGCATCAAGCATACGGCCTGTGGGCCAGAACTTTTCCATCTCACCCAACAGTAATGCAGCAGGCTACCAGAAGTTGGGGGGGCATAGCTACTGGAGCATGTCCTGCCACAAAAATTGGGGGTCCTGGACCCTGATAGACATTGCCATCAGTGTCGGGGGGCAACCAAGGGCTGTACAGACACAGCCCTCGTTTACCCTGCTGCTGCCTGCCCCTGGACCGTACTGCCACCCATTCCTGGACCCACACTGCTGCCTGCCCCTAGATCCATGCCTCTGCCCCTTCCTGAGCCCATAGTGCCACCCAATCCCCCACGCTTGTTGTTGCTTGACCCCAGGTGCACACTGCTGCCTGCTCCTGAACCCATGGTGCCATCCAATCCTCCACTCAGGCTGCTGCCCACCTCTGGATCTGCACTACTGCCTGCTCCCCCACCACCACTGCTGCCCTATCCCCAACCAGCATCACTGCCTGCTCTCCCATCCCTGGACCAAGGCTGCAGGCTCTGGACCCAGATCCACTACAGCTGCTGCTGACTCCACAGATTTGGCCCAGAAGAAGCCCTGTGGTCCGGATTTAGCCAAGGGCCCATAGCAAGTTTGATGCCCCGATATAATTTAACCATGGAGTACAAAAATTGTGATCCTCCTCACCCCCCCAGAAATATACAAATCTTTGCAAAGACATAAATACACACACACACGTGCGTGTGTATGTGTATATTTATGTTTATATATTGTATATGTTTATATGTTTTATGTTTTATATTTTTATAGCTATATAAAAACATAAATACACACGCACACATATGCTGGTGTGTGTGTGTCTGTGTGTGTATATACACATACATATATATATATATGTATCTATATATATATAGAAACATTGGTAAAACATTATAGAATAAAAGCTGTGTTAACCGGGCATTTAAGTAACCAGAATACTCCATTAACCAGAATTTCTGGCTGGCTGGCCAGCCAAACACAGGGGAGGGGGTGGGGGAGCTCTCATGCAGTGGCCACCACCACCCACCACCCTGCACTGCTGCTGCTCCTCATGCAGCCGCCGCCACCCCCCACGCCACACGTGGCCAAAACCCCCTGGTTCAGGTAACCGCAATAACCAGCACCACCCCCTTACCTCACTCATGCTGGATAACAAAGCTTTTAGAGAGAGAAAGAGAGAGAGAGTCAAATATTATATATGTTTGACCAATTTCCACTAACTATGCCAAAAATTGAAAGTTTTTATATTGTTTTATAAGCTGCTCTCCATTAACCTGATGCAAAGCTCATTGACCCCCATGTCTGACATGACTGATCTTTGGATGAGGTTTACTGTATCTAGCCCCAATACAAGATGATGTTAGTCTACCACTGTTAGAATATTACATTTTATAGGATTTCCCCACAACATGAACTGCCCCTTCTCTCTCTCTCACCTTTAGCACCCTGGTACGTGTCTCTCGGACCTTTTGAGGTTTAATCTCAGCGTGATTATGTAGCCGAAGGATGTGACACTCCAAGAAACTGCAACATCCATGAGCAGCAAAGAGCGAGGCGCTGGTTCTCCTCATTAACCGTCTGGCCTTTTCAAAAGGCTCCCGGAAGTTGTCCCACTGCTGAAGTCTGGCAAACCTATATCAACAAGAGAGAAATCTGTCAGATCAGAGGTCAGATTATTAGACCATCACCTCTGGAACAGCTTTCAGCCCTAATCAATACTTTTTTTTTTTTTCAGAAAAAGATGAAAAACCCATGCTGTGAAATGCTGTATATTGGGAAAAGAAATGTCATCCTAACTCTTGCAATGAAGTATGAGACTTGATTACCAATGAGGTAGTGTAAAGCCAGCATGTTTTTTCATGCCAGAGCTGTACAAGGTGTCTAACATGATGACTTGAATTTTCTTGTTAAGAAGGCTTTCAGGCCTGGTCATCTGAGTATCCAGATTTGGTGGTCTACATCACATTTTTGGTTACCTTGGTGGCCAAAAATGCCACTTACACCTGAATAAGGGCTCTGTGGAGGCAGTGTCATGAAGAAGTAGCCCATTGATAGAACCTCTCCTGAGTCACCCAAAATATAGTAGAAGAGTCTTAGCTGAAATACTCCCTCTTTTGTGCTAATGGGGCAGCAATGCTGCTGCCAAACCAGAAGGTAATATAGGGAAGATGGATGGAACAAGGTGTGAAAAAGTGATATCCCTATAATTGTAGACTAGAAAAAAAATACAAAAAACTAAAAGCAAAATAAGAATGACTCGGCTATTGCTGGGCTAGGTTTTATGGTGGATATTAGGATAGGAATTCAGTTACTAACAGGAAGACACTGCTCAAGAAATTATGCCCTGTTAGCCTGGGAGAGACTGTGCTAATAGCTGTGTTCACCTTCCAAGCATGCTGAAGGTAAGTGAGAAATTTCAGGAAGTCTGCATGGATTCAGTCTAAGCCGAGTGCTTTGGCAGTTAATAAATGTGTGATGCGTGCATTCCCGAAGACTCCACAGAAGACTTCCACAGTGGTAAAGAAAAAAGAAACATAACCAATAAACAGCTACCACAATGGTCCTTCCATAATTATAGGTGAGCAGAATCCCACACGATTTAACTTAACCACTCTGAATCATATCAAAATACCGGATCAACCATCTGATTTCAATGAAGTCATTCCTGGACAAAGGGCCTGCTCAACAGGAATGCTGTTGATGGCACTCAGCCCAAAGTTGCCAAGTTCCAAGCTACTATTGGGCAAAATAGAAACTAAACCCATAGCAGGGAAAAGCAATTTTGAGGAGACTTTGTACATTACCAAATGGCCAAGGATGAGTAGAGTCCAAGCATTATGCCACTCTGAGACATAAGGATACAGTTTGTTTCATTTTGCTGTACAAATTCCAGGCACTCTTTAAATGGCTTATATGTCCACCCTGTAAAAGAAATTTGCATTAGAGAAGCAATCTTTCCCTGAGACAATTGCATGTCTCCTTGCTCTGATGCTGCCAGATTGGACACTGATAGTCAAAAAGAGTGGCTGACTTTCCTACTAGATGATTAATTCAGAGATCAATCAATATCTAACAGAAAAATTGCAAAGTTGAGGGGTTACTTGGCACTTTTGACTGTCAGAGGTTCTGCAAACATAACCTAGATCAGAAAGAGACCCAGTGCTGGGCAAAAAAAGTATTGTACCAACAACTTTTTACTGTGGTAAAAGGTTATTGTACAATTTTACTCAGTACTACTGGGAACACCAGCTCTGGATAGTCTGGTCTAGCAAGTAGGACTGCTCAGGACCTAACTGGAGACACCATTATACCAAGAAAAATATGCATTAGCCAACATGGCTATTTTTACTTGTTAACTGATGCAGGTTATACTGGTAAAAGCACTTGCATACCATGAGGATTTTGCCAGTTTAGGGACACCCTTATAGCTATGTTGGCAAAGATGCACACACACATCCCGTTAGAAAATTGGCACTTTCTTAGGGCTGGAAAGCAGGGTAATTGAGACAGGTACCAGGAGGCATTCTTCTGTTCTGACTGGCTTAGTCAGTTCTGCAGTAGGGGAGAGCCAACTTATAGGAGGCTTTCTGGCCAACTTTACATCCTCCCATGTCCCAAAATTAGACTCCAAATAGTGTGCGATAGCATCCAACCACGTCAAACTTCACATAGAGATGAATATCCCTTCCTTTAAGCTAGAACACCTTTTCTCTGAAACCATTTAGCCCCTTACTTCAAAAACTAACTATTTCAATTGAAATAAAACTGAAAAATGCCAGAGTGAAGCCCCCATTTTTGGTGACCATCCCTGACAAGGAGACAGAAGAACTTTGCAAAGCATGTTGCTCTCTGTGATCCTCCTCCTCATCAGTACTTACCAGCATAAAGCAAGAGATCTAGACAGCTTGAAAAAAAACAAGCCCGTGCAAGGATCTTCTCCTCTCGAATGGCCAACTTCTCCAGCCACTGCAGCACTTGCTTACATTCCTGGCTTCTAGGGAGAAGCACAACAAGGAGCCATTGTGGAGGGTTACTGCACAACCCAAGCAGAAGCAGAAGTGATGTTTCCTCCTTGTGCCTTTATTCCACCATTTCTCTTCCTTTATTCACACCTTATCCTCTGTTTTCCCATACACTTCTCCACTCATCAATCTATCCTACTTTTCCATCCAAGGTAGGGGTGTGCGAAACAGGCCGTATTCAATCTGGATTTGGATTCGAGTCAACGAATCTGAATCTGAAGATTTGACACTGATTCGGAGAATAAGCGATTCAGCCATAGACACAGCTTTAAATGTTTTTTCTACATACCTCCAGGTAACAGGAGCAGTTTGTGATCGCTGTGATGCTGGGGTAGGTGGAGTGTCCCACAGGAACATGGGGTGGTCCCCCGCATGCTTGCCAGCAAACCCAGAAGTAAACCAGAAGTACTTCCAGTCCACTTCCGGGTCCGCCAGGAAGCACACCAGGGGCCCCCCCGCATCTCCCCAACTCAGTGACCCTGAGTGCACCCCTCCCAGACCCAGGAGGCACCAGTCACTGAGCTGCGGGTTGCAGGGGGACCTCCTGCGCGCTGGCTGACAGACCTGGAAGTGGACTGGAAGTGATTCTGGTCCACTTCCAGGTCTGCTGATGAACGTGCTGGGGAGCCCCCCACACTCATGTGGGATGCTCCATCCGCCCCACCATCTCAGTGTGCATGAGCTGCTTGGTACCTTGAGGTATGTAGAAAAAACATTTAAAGCTGCATCTATGTCTGAATCGCCAAATCTCTCCGAATTGATTTGGAGGGTTCCAATTCGATTTGGAGAAATTAAAGGGTCCCCTGATTCAATTTGGATTCAGAGATTTGGCCACCGAACTGAGCCAAATCGAATCAGGGACTGAATCTTTGCACAGCCCTAATCCAAGGTTCTTTGAACAACAAGCTTATCAAGAAGAGTTTCAGTATACCAGCCCAAAACGCAAGACTTGGAATTGTCAGTGATTGTCTACCAGCTTTCAAAGTCTTCCCCAACATTCAAAGTCTCCAAGTATGCTTTTATCTGAGAGGACCAGAGTGACCAATCTACCCCTGCAGACAAATGTGCTGTAGGGCAAACAAATATGTGATCAGGAAGCCACTCTAGCCCACAGAATGTAGTAGTTGGTGAGATTAAGAATATGGAATAACCCTTATATCTGCTGGAGAAGGAAGAAAACAAAAAGTGACACATGATCCATCCCAGTCTACATGACCAAGACTCATAAACCCCAAGAGTAGAGATATATACCTCTCTTTGCAGGAGGAAAAGATTTCCCTGAGAAGGAAAATGCCAGCCAAACCAAACAAAAGCCAAACATCAGCTTGTCCATATAGGAAAATAAGATTTATCTAATACCTCATGCTCAGAAAGAGGGATTGGAAAAGTACGCTAAGAATCATATAGTCCTGGTTGGGTTTCTTCAGATGCAAACAGATTTCATGGGCTCGATAGCCTGAGGAGAAAACACGCATAATTAAATGTTTCGCTCTTAACTGTGACAAGTTCTCAAACAAAAAACAACGCCAGAAGACTTACCTAATTCAATTGAAAATGGCAGGTTACCTAAACAGTACTTTATATAGGCCAAAGACTGTGCTAATTTAATGATGGTTAATAGCCCTCCTCCAACCAGCTTTAGGTAAGAGCTACGTTGGATGGCCATCAACTCATATTTCATCCAGTCGTCTTGGCAACCAATTGTCTGGCAGCAAAGTGCATATTCTATGTAAGATGAAATGATCTGAAATATTCCAAACAAGAAAATCCGTGAGCTTGGACCTGTAGATTAGAACATTCTGTCAAGTATTATCTGATGCCGGCCTAAAGGGGACTGGATAAAATCTCCAGATCCCTTTTTCCAATTTCCCTTACAATGCTCACCATTAAAAAGTTTATAATTGTTACCAAAGTTTATTAGGGTCATTTTTACCAAAGTTTATTAGGGTCACATCTAAAGGCAGCAGTCAGGATTGTCCTGCTATTGTGCTTGGTACCATACAGGCACAAAATATACATTTGTATAAACAATTAATAGCTTAAAAATTGGAGGCAACAAAAACAGATAGACGGACATACAGAACTGCCTGAATCTCAGGCCAAATCTTTTGGGAAGTTCAAAAATGTCAGTGAATTTTCATTGTCACATTATCATATCTCTGTTATCTCTGTTCTTGCCAAAGATAAAAGTGTTGAAACATCATAAGAGAGTTTACAGCCATTTTAATTACTGGCAGAGAGAGAAGCAAAGCATGCCACAAAAATCACAAGCAGGCTGGTTTTCCATGACATTTTTAGCCCTAGAAGCTTGAATGGCTTGAATAGCATTAACAGAAAAAACTGGATTCACTGGGATTTTACCCCAAGCAAAGCCCTTTAGACATTACATGTTGGTCCAGAGCCAATGTAAATTAGGTGTCAGCTCCTCAGTCCCTTTACAAAAGACTGTGCCCTAGCAGTTAGAAGCCAGGGCATACTAGTTATTTTCTTCTCTTTAGGACTCACCTGGTGCTCATCCTCTGATTCCTCTGCTGAGTTCACACTCATGAGTGCTGCTAGCTGAGAAAACTTCCTGCTGGTGTGAGCAGAGTCCTGGCTGAAGATCTGCCACAGTAAGGAAAGGCAGTGGTTCTGCTGATACAGACAAGCTAGTTTCTTCTCCCTGTTGCACCACAGACATTTTTAGGCAGAGAAGGTATTAGCAGCCCCAAAACATAACTATTGTAGCTTATCAAAACAGAACAAAGAAAGCAGTCAGAAAGTTCATCTGGGCTATTCTACGTCCTCCTGAGAGGGGAGGCAGCTGGGAGAATGTCAGGGGCAAGTGAGGGAAAAGGAGCAAAGTAGGAGGAGGAAAGTTGAATCTTTGGAAGGCTGTATGCTAGCAGTGGTGCTAGAAGCAAAAAGGGTGATGACTCAAAGGCTGGGGTACCAATGCACATGAGTGTAACCATGAGGAGAAGGCAGGAGACAATTTTGCCCCACAACGTCCAGCTCAGAGAAGGGCAACAGTGGCCTCCTTCCCACACCTTGGCTTGGCTGACAAGAGGCAGAAGAGAAGGTGCGGCTGCTGTATGGACCCAGGCCACAACAGAGCAGCACTTCAGTTCCAGATAGATGTAGCCCCCTGCCAGCTAAGTACAAGCTTGCAGCTATGACCCCAGGCTGCAGCCTGATGAGCATCTTCCTTATCTAGGCCCCAAGCCTGTAGGTTCATGTTAGCACAGCAATGAGGGTCTTAGCCAGGGCACAAAGGAGCAGCTGTAATTGAGGCAAAAGCACCCCCTTTGTCCCCCCACTATTATCTGTGCTGGCTGTGCTACTTGGTTCCAGTGGTTGTATGACTTAATTTGAAGCTGTTACAGTTGGGCCAGGATCACAAAGGGTGAGAACTACTGTCCTGTATGGGTTGTATTAGCACTTATCAGGACTGGGTAAGTTAAAGTATGTTTCCCATATTGATATATGAGCGTTCCCTTTGAATGACTGGTTAGCAAGAAGAGTCAGTTTTAATCTGCCTTTAAACTGTAGCAGTTTGTATAAAATATCCTCAATAGTCTAGCCCTGTTTTTCAAAACAATTGCCTCGCTCTTGCATACTGTACCACTGAAGAGTGTAGCTATTCATAATTCTCCCTTTGTCATTGTATCTAAGCATTTGTGTTTAAAGTTTCATTCCTGCAAAGACTTAAGTACAATCTTACCATGAAGTATGAGAATGTTCAAACACTTCATATTAAGCACATGCATAAGTGTTTGCAGTATTAGGACCTAAATAGTGTCCCAGGGTAAACTCTAGCCAACCCAATTTTACTCTGATTCTGCTTCCTACCCAGTATTGCTAGGATGCGGACAAGGCTGGTTCTTCTGTTGAGATGCATGCTTTGACATTTCAGTCACGGTCTTAAAAAAGACTCCAATTGAAGTAAGTGGGAACTTCCTGCCAAGTAAACTCAAAGCCTTCTTGAACATTTTCTTTGCCAGTTTCATTTGGCCCATATTATAGCACACCTGTAGAAAGGTACAAACAATAAAACAAGGACTGTAACGGTGTCTTTCAACTGCACTAACAGAAGCCGTTGGCTGTCAGATATCATTTTCTATACCTAGCACTGGGACAAAAAAAGCAGAGACACCAAATACCATATTTACTCAAGTATAAAACAAGGTTTTTTCCCCCCGCAATCAGCATGAGGGGAAAGCTCCTCATCTTACATTTGCATACAAGGAAACCTCATTAAATGCACCATCTGCAGCATGTGCTCATAATGGAAACAAATTATGCAGCTGATTAAATGCAGCCAACACTGAGCATGACTGTAAAACATACAACCTGTATTAGACAATTTTTTTTACAAAAATATTTGTGTGTATATGTATGTATGTATGTATGTGTACATATATGTGTGTGTATAAATATACATATACATCTACATATGCTGAGTTTTTTACTGTAGCCGTGTTGGTCTAAGGACATAGGCAGGCCAGGTTCTTTTGGTAGATGTGATATATTTTATTGGACCAACTGAGTAGTTGGAAAAAGGTTCTTTGCAAGCTTTGCAATATATACACATATACACACACACATTACACTATCCTTATTCCTGTTACAATAACAGGGCACCCTCAAGAAAGTTTTTAAAAAATATATATTTCATGCTCCAGGTCAAATCAGCCAAATCAATTCAAAAACATATTGATCAAGTAAAACTCAATCATTCCAAAAACTGCATTGATTGAGCAGGCAGAACTCACTGGTTCTAAACACCATGCATGGTGCTATAACCAATAAGCATCTTTTGTCCCAGGTTTTCAACCTGGGACTTCAGATATTCACAAATCCATTAGCAGGCATCCTACACCCAGAGGCCTTAGGATTCACATGGCCCCACTTGATCTACATTTGATCTGAGACAAAGGCCAAAAAGCATTAGTACAACTCATCTGAATAAGAGACACGGTAGTGTCCATGGCATGCAGTCCCCCAAAGCACTGATTCCTTTAAAAGCCACGGTGAGCCACCATACTGCATATATTTCAACACTCTCTTCACTCTCACAGCTGAGCTGTGCCTTTTTCTTCCATTTCCAATGGTTCCTGTTTCTTCACCATCCTTAAGCATCTGACAAACATCACTAAATAGGGCCCCAAACAGTTTACTTAGATCTCCTCTGTTACCTCCTGTCTTAGCCTGTCGCATATGATTAGTGTGACCCTGTCCTCCATGAGATGTCACCAGACCAGGTTTCCCTTTGCCTCATATGCATATACATTTTTGGAGGATCCCAGGACTTGTAATGACACCTGGTTCCAATCATGAGTGGAGCGGTCTAATTAGCACATGGATCCTTTGTGGGGAGTGGTTGGAGTACACAAACATACTGAGCAGTGCTGAGCTATAGAATCACCATGGCTTTAAATACGGTTGACTCTGTTGCAGCCCAGCCCAATGAACTATATGGTAAGTGATGAGCTTTTTGGCTTTGGATTAATATCATGCATAATTTGTACTATAGATAAAGTAGGTACCAAAGTGCTGCTTAAAAGTGTGTTTATGGAGTACCTGTGCTAAAACATGCAGCAGTTTAAAAAAAAGAGGTAAAATGTATCAAACCTGGATGAATCAAGTCTCTGGGTACCTGTAGTAATTTGCCTATTTGAAGATTACTATAAGCATGCTTATTTCAAAGTCAGTGTTTTCAAATTTGTGCCTCACTTCCATATGCTCCAGGAAGGGTGTGACAGCAAGAGTGGGGAAAGGCCTGTAGGGAAATGAAGTTGGGGAGGCAGAGGGTAAGGGAGCCACCTGAACCCTCAGATTTATTTTCCCTGCTGTAGCAGTGGGTGGGGGAAAAAAATCAAGACAAACGTCCAATAATTAGATTCTATATCAGGAAAATTGTAACAAATTCTATTCTAGTTATAAATTTTCCATATATAGAATCTAATTATTCAGGGTGTTGTCATATAATCAGGGTCATCTTGTATTTGAGTAAATATGGTACATTCCCTGACCATAATATATGTTGAATATATTCCTATTTCCTTTATAAGAACAACTAGGAAGCTAAAGCCCCACCCTAGTAACTGCAGCCATTTAGTTATTATTCTGTATCAACTGAGTTTAAGACCATCTGGTTTTGTGCTGAAAATCACTGCTTTGCAATCAAAAGATCTAAAGCACATACATGAAACGTGATATATATCCACCCCCTCTTGGTAAACGTGTTGGTGGTGCTGTTGTGGAGAGAGGCAAAGGAGGAATATTAGGCTCCTGCTTCAACAAGTAGCTAATAAATTTGAGTTCCTGGCTCTGAATGAGAGCCAAGAAGCCTGAAATTGTTTTGATTGAAAGGTGAAGTGGACACAGAAGTGTAGACTGATGGGCCCAATGAGAATCAAGGGCTAGGAATTCCAGGACACTTGCTGTCATCTTCCGTGGACCACCTCAGATACACATGAAAGGATTCCTCCCTATCTATCTCCTTACCTCGCCCTTAAGGCTGTAGAAAGTGGCTTCCTCAAATAGGCTGATTACATGCCTTCTAGGATCCAGTGACTTGATCAGGCTCTCGGCTATATTCAGATTCATAAAGGCCTAAAACAAAGCAAATCACAAAGAGAGCAAATGACTCTCTGTGAAAATCACACATCCAACCCCAACACTCACTGAAGATAGATTAATTCTATGGTCACCTGTGGCCAGTACAGATGACTAGAGAGTGTCAGTAAGAAATCCTGTTGGTGGAGAGGTTCAATATAGGTGGAGAGAGCTCTCTGATTCCTACTTTTCACATCCCAAGTGTGTTGTAAGAGAAGAAGGAAGCATTCCCAGGTCAGGTTATAAATAGAATAGGGCCACAGCAAAGCATTATACCTGATGATTCACTGTTAAAACTGTTCCAACCACGGTGCAGCGCAGCCTGAATCAGAGAGATGCAGCAGGGGATGCCCACTCTTCCCCATCCAGGATGAGCTCCAACATATTGGAGAATCTACCCCAGGGGTTGTCAACCAGGGGAGCTCGATGCAGTGGCCGCTGCCACTACCCACTACCCCATGCTGCTGCTGCTCTTCGCATCTGGCTGTGTGCCATTTCCTCCCCACCACACCTCATGTCTGGCCACCGGCGAATACTCCTATTAAAAAAGGTTGATCTAGCCTATAAACCCAAAGAGAACTCCTATGCCAGATCCAGGACAGTAAAGGAACTTTCCTTCTACTTGGAATAATCCAGGAGCTAGTGGAACCACATGTAGAGTTGGGACATGGGTCCACACAATCAGTGTAAGTGTTGAGTGACTAATGGCACTGACTGTAGCCTGTCATTGTATAAACGAGCCACAATGGAAGCCTCCTTTGCACAGTTCTGCCAAGAAATCTCACTGAAGAGCTGCAGCATGCCCCACTATAACAGCCCCTTTTCCCTTTCAAATTCCACTCCTGCACATAGCTCTGTGGATGCTTCTGACCTAAATTAGCTCCCTGCTACTTTAGTTGTGAGCTCCTAAATAGACCTGTTAATGTCTGACAATCCTGACTGGTCTGTCAAGATCACTCTGGAGCAGAGACTGCTCTTTAAAATATTGATAAATGTTACATGATGAAATATCACCAAAAGACTCCTAGAATCACATTATTTATCATTTCACAAACCTCTTTGGTGTTAAGGTCATGAGCCTTTGAGCCCTTTGTTGGCACTGGATTTATAACCCAGATACCTTATTCTGGGTGGACTCAAAACCCTAAGACTGACCACGATCTCTCCATTCAATAATAGGCAAATTTTACTGATACACAGCAATAAAAGATAAACATAATGCAAACAATTCTATATCTACCAGTCCTAGAGCTGTCACAGAGGAAGGTGTGTCTGACTAGTATACAAGCTTTACCCTGAGATTCTTTCTTGAATGTCAGATATCAGCAGCCTGGAGGTGAGAGGCTGAAGCCCATCTTCCCCTGCATCCCTCCCTCCATCCAGTGGGAAGGATGAGACAGGCTGGTGGTGTGTAGCAATGGTAGCCTCAGGTTCCCTTCTTGGAGTCCTTTTGCTGGTCTTAAATTCCTCCTTTTGCATTCTTTCTCCCCTCTGATGACTCTTCATCTCTGGGTATCATTGACTAGTTTCCCTGTGTTCATCATACTGTCTACTTTCTATCCTTTCAGCATATTCTTTTGTTTCAAAAAGCCATCACATGCACACATCCTACTTTGGTTATTTACTGGTTTCTCCTAATTTGGTCCATCTACCAGAACCAGAAATCCCAAGGGCTTTTCAGTTTGGCACTGTGATCTGGAGGGTCCCTTATCTGTATCTGGGTACACTGTTCGTGTTATGGAACACTGTAGTACACGTCTTCAGTTTCCCAGCCTGTGTGTCTTCTTGCCTGTGTCAGACACAGTGGGCCTTGAAGGAAACTATATCATAAACAGGCTTTTAGAAATCAATTACACCTTGCCATTGCCCTGGGCCATTGTTTTAATCTAATGCATATCTACTTTACCGATAAGCCAAGCCCAAAAAGAAAATCTCTAAATACCATTTTCTAACCATCACCCATGTTCCCAGGTGTTTTCTTGCATGGCATCCCTTGCCCTCAGCATCCCCTGTGCTCGCAAAGCATTCCAACTGTCAAACACAAATCAGATGGAATTTAATCTCCCACTTGCTGCATTTGGGATATTAAAATCCTACTTCACAGCAAGCAGTTTTGGTAATAGAGGAAGGAGAGAAGGCAAGTTTAAGACTTGATCCCACCATTTTCAAAATACAAAGAAATGTATGTTCCCAGATGCATGTGAGATTCTGCCAAAATGGGGAGAAGCAATAAAGAGAAAGATCAAGGGAGCTGACAATAATTCATTTGGAAGTTGGGTTCAAGGGAGACAAGCAGCTCACCATATAATTGTTTGAAAGGTGTAAGTATGCAGCTGCACATTCCAACAAGTAATACAAGGCTTTGGCCTCATCTCCTATTGCCATGCAGTGCCGGGCAAGGGGCATAAACACGGATGCCACAATCTGTTCACATTCACATGATGCCATGTATGTGATCTTCCCTCTACCCTGGCCAAAAAGACGAATGATCTCATCCATCCTATCCAGAAACTCCTTTTGTGCAGCTTCAGCTCTGGTCAAAGACAAGATCACAATTAACAATTAGGAGTTGACTTCCCTGATAAAAATATTGTCATTCTCCCAGTACAGACCAGGAACAATATCATAGCAGCTAATGGATATAGATACTAATGACTGTTTGGCAAGATTAATAATATGCCACCCAGAATTAGGAATCCCAAGACAAGTGGAGTACAGCAGTCTATGGGGTAATGTTCCAATATGAATATGCATAAATAAAAAGGTATTACCATAACATAGTATAAATAAAGCTTCCCAGCATAGCACTAAATGGGGAGAGAAAACACCAGATCAGTGACTAATTAGTCTGAGAAACAGCAACCTGTTTCACCTACTTTGGGTCTCCCCCACAAACAGTTGTGTAAGTAACATGAATGCTAGTCCTTCTATATTGCTTTTATCTCCCTTGTACAATCATAGCTGTGTTGTTTTTTTGGGCTTGTTAAATAAATGAGTTACCACTGCACTGTAAAGGCTCTGTCTATCGATAGCCTCACTACTATAACAAACTAAGCCAAAGATCAAACCCACTAAGACAATATCCTAAGTTACATCAGTGTAGATGCTGTGTGCCTATACTTATCCCAGAATTACCTAATGGTGAGGAGGTATAATATTGCCTATAGCATTCATGCTACGTAAGTCATCATTTGTCTGCTCTGGATCCCAGTATAATTTATATGGATATATGAAACTAAAGTAAATTACATATATGTTAATGTGTCATGCACCTATGCCCATGATGTGCTGAAGTCCAGTTATTAACCAACTCTGATTGGCATAAATCAGTCAAATTGTAAATTACACTACACTACCTGAGGTTTTCCTCTAGCAAAGTACCATCTTTCTTTAATAACCTTCCAATATCTAGAAAGAAAAATAAAAAACAATGAAATATCTCATCATATGTCACAGAGAAAGAGCTACTTCTTACTATTTTTCTAGCATTATGTTTATGAGATGAAATTCAAATGAGGGAAGTTATACTTGATAATCCCAGAGGTTCATTGCTGAGTTAGCTTGAGTTATCTACAGTCAACTTACTCCTCCTGAATTAGCATCGCTTAAATGAAAGCAACCACACTGTTAAACTGCCCTCAAGTTCCTTTGTTCACACTGGTGCCACTGTCACTCACATGGCACTAAGGCTTGTCTGTACCATGATAGTGCTGCATCCTGATGAGCATACTCCACCCACCACAGTAAATCTACCGACGTACTCAGCCACACGCTCCTGAAACACAGCACTGCTGGTCTACTACTGAGGACCAAAGTCTGTTAAGCACAAATTTCTCTCTGCCACACTGATCGTCTCCAGCTAATCTGTTACAGCCAGGGAAGGTAAATGGAAAATTACCTTCTGCAATGTGTGGAATAATTGACCCCAATCCCCTGGAGAAAGCAGAAGTATGGTGATCTGAAAGTAAGAGAGCAAAGATCATGTTTATGTAAGTGTTCAAGCAGTTTGTGCCCTATACAAGACAAATGACCATACTGCATTCCTGGTAAAGAATCTTTACCCCCAGTGGTGGCCAGGAAACTTCCAGGAGATGGTTGTCTAGAGAAGAAGCACACCATCAAGAAATATGGCTGTACCCCAGCCAAAATTGCCTTATCTTACACAAGACTCCTTTCCGGAAACTACCCCAAAAGGGCTAATATTGGCTATCCACAGCTGGTATAGAACACCATAGCTTTATGGCTATCTATGGGGCCATGCTTATATACACTAGCATGGCATCTAACCTGAAGTATTTTGTGTCCAAACCCCTCCCCTCAACCCAGGTGCTGAATGAGCTCGCTATGCTTCTGGCCGACTCCTTCAGAAAGGCAGCATTTGATTAGTTAGAGGGAAGGGCAAGGGAAGTATTCAGCTTTTCCCAGCTGCCCATTTTTATTTCCCCCTTTTCTTAAATTTAATTATTTTCAACCTTGAATTTTCAAAGTAAATACATGAGGCTGAGGACCAAACACCATCTCACCAACCAAGAGACAGCTCCCATTGATATCAATGGAAGCCCTATGTCCAATAAAGCTGGACTTGGACTTGTGCCTCACTTTCCTCCTAATACAGCTCCGTTCAAGTTAGCAGCTCTTCTTAGCATGATGCATTACAGTCAGGACCAGCTCCAGCTGGTCTATTACAGTTGAGGTTACCTTCTGTAGCACTTTGTGCAACTGACCCATGTCTCTTGGAATAATTAGGCATGTGGATATCTGAAAGTAAGAGAACAAGGTGATCTAAGTGTGCAGGCAGTATATGGTTTATTTAAGACAAAGAAACACCCTGCCTTCCTAGTGACAAGCTCTCACCTTCATCAAGAGGCCTGAACATTCTAGAAGGCGAGTGTCTAGAGATGGTGCGCATAACCACGGCTGCGGTGTCTAAATATGACTGCACTCCAGAAAAGATATTACTGAGCTTATTTCGTGGTTCATGGATTTCTAAGTATACAAAGCGTAAGACATTAGGCTTCTTCAGCATGAATAAGACTCCTGTGCTCCCCGTCCTTACCTCACTCAAAGCTGTGCCTCCCCACCACCCCTGTTCTCAAAAAAAGGCCCCCCCCCACCTGGCCTCTCACAACAGTTTGCCCAGGATGCAAGCTCTGCTTGTTACACCTCTGGTAACAGCCCAGCTGTTCATCACATTCTCGTATCCAGCAGGTCTGGGCAGGATAAAGTATGGGAGAGCTATCAAGAGTTCTAATTATTAACTTAAAACAATACCATACAGTAACTCTAACCTATATGAGTCTGTCTTCTGCCAGACTTCAGACTAACACAACTAACAACTTCTCTTTGTTAATCAAGGACATAAAGGCCAGTTCTTCTAAAGAATGTGTGCAAAAGTTATTTGGATATTTCAACATAGTAGGCAAAATTCACCCTGGTCTAACAGCACCAAAATACCTTTACTATTATCGCTAATTATTTTGCAATTGTCTTATTATACTTTGCCTCTATTTTCTTGGGTTTTTTTAAATCTGGAAACCTCTGAGATATATATAGAAATAATGTTTTCACATATGTTTTGTCAGGATATGTTTTCTCAGGAATTACTGAAACTGAATCAGAGTATCTGCCCTGCTTCTATTCTTCCTGCAAGGCTTATCACAGAGTTTGGCAGAAATTGTTTTCATCCAAAACATGGAAGCATCCAATTGTGTAGCACTCCCGCACTAGGTTAGGACATTGGTTCACTAATGACCCAGGGAAATAATAAGTGTCTTCCTCTCTAAGGCTATATCATTCTCTCTTTGCCCATCTCAATATCTCAGTATTTCACCTCTCTCGCATTTATTTTTTTTTCAGTCTCTTATCCCATTAATCCAATAAATCAACCACTTCTTTCATCCCCTGCTTCCTGCAGCATTCTGGGGATTTCTCTTGTAGTCTCTCCTTGTTCCCTTTAAGGTTATTGTGGGTTCTTTATCTGACTGGACATTTTACCTTCAGTTAACTCTGTGTTATTTTCTTGCGAACACATCTCAGCAGGCACAACTTTTCGCTCTAAACCTGCCAAATGGAAGACAGAAACAGATTGTGATATATAACAACAAAATGTGTCATGGCTCTTTATCATTTGTCTGGCGGTGGAGTCTGGAGACCAGAGTGCCATTGCACTAGATGTAAGATAGGTATAATAAAAAAGTTGGCCAGTTCCAAAGAACCTACAAGGAGCCAATTCTGCATCAGAACTAAATTCAACTGCAGGACTTATTAATGTATAGTGCCTTGTTTGTTTTGAAGGGTGGATTTATTTCACCCTCCCTCCCTCCCTCCAGGTCTTGGCTTCTGCAGTGTTGTCCAGGCTAGTTCAGAACTTCTTTAATTTAATAGATACCAAAGACATGGAGAGCAAACATTAGTTTTAGTAGCTTCTCTTCTCAGCTTTCAATCACAGCTACTAACTGTGAGGCTTCTCAGGCGTCTCAGATGCTCTACTATTCCTTAGCCTACCTTCATTCTACCTCGGCTTACCAGCCTACCTCATTCTGTTAACTGTGGTTCTTTCCTACCTCTGCTGCCTTGGCTCCATGTGTGAATCCATGAAGCATGTTCTTAATAATAAGATCAAGCCTAGCTTTAAAGGGAAAATCATGCAAGAACTGACTTCTCTAGGCAGATTTCCATCAGAGCAAGGACACACAAAAAGATATGAGACACTCCATAGCATCAAAGAAAAATGCCAAATTCCATATACAATTCACAGACCCCTAAATAAGATGAAAAGAAATCATTGTTTCAGCTAGCAACATTTCCTCAGAACTATTGTTAAGGCTCTCCGAAGATCCAAGCAAACGACTTTACAACTTTTAATGCTTATTTCATGCTTTATTCATCCACCTGATACCTAGAAGCATAAGCATTTTTAAAGAAAAATGAGACTTTTAACTCTGGAGCATAATGTTGTGGCAAGGAGTGAATTTCCAGACAAATTCTATAGTCATGAAATCAGATTTTGGCACAGGCAGGAATCCCTTGGTAAACTGATGGCTCCCCAAAAGGCAGTTTCTTCCTCTATATGCAGTCGACCTGCCTCTACAAGTCTGTGTGTTTCCACATTCTTCCACAACCTCAGTCTCCTCTCTCCCTGCACTGAACACTAGAAAGCAATGCAAAGAAATCCATGGGAAAGGCCGAAGAGCTGATGGGGTACAGAAGGATTTGAAGGATATAGGGTTGAAGTGGGAAAGTATAGAAAAAGAACAAAGAAGTGCCTCTGTGATGGATTGCGTGATGGAATAAGGAGGAAACAGGAATATGTGAAGTGGGAGAAAAGAGGGGTGAGGGGTAGCAAAACTGTCTGATGTTTCCTGAGACTAGAAGATGCCTCTACCCACCAGTCCCAACACCTCAGAATATGCCACAAACAGCGAGAACTTGAGGAATGTGGTATGGAGTAATTGCCAACACAGCCCTGTTCTCTTGAATACTGCAAAACAGCCCTGCTACATTTCCTGCCACATGGTATCACAGTCCCTTGGAGAGCCCAGACTCAAGACTGTTTTATAAACTAGGATGTTCAATAACCTTCAAATGAGGGAGACTCGATTTTTCCTAGAGCTATGGCAGTGACCAATGAGGCTGCTTCACTGAATGGATATTCCTCAGGTTCCTCAAAAACAAGTTCCTGGTCATCTGGTATCTCTAGCGTCATCTCAATTGCATAGCGGTGGAATGAAATGAAGTCCCCTTCGCCACAACGCTTGCATTTGTGGGCCTGCTTCTGTAGGTAAGCAGCACATTTGTGATGTAACGCTTCTTTCTGGCTCTTCAGCCAGAGCTCGTAGGCTGCTTCCTGCATCAAGGCCATGCAGAACCCCATGCCGCTGCACTGCATCACTGCCTGCTCCAGTCTGATTCTGTTAGCCACAGATATTTGGACACCTTCAAAAAAGCACAGATTTCTAAATTAGCTCCCACCTGCCAAGAGCAGAGTTCAGTCACTGAGGGTGCTATGCTTCTGCTGTAGCCATAGATGAAAGTGTTTACACTGAAGGTTTAAAGCTGCACCCTTGTTGGGTTGTTAGTAGCTGTGATTGAACCCAGGACCTCTAGATTTTAAAGGTATAAACCTCAATCCCTGAGCTGATAGGCCATTATACAACACAGGAGTAGTTTAGTGGGATACAGGTATATAACGTACTTGGACAATAAATCAAAATGTAAAAAAATCAAGCATAATAATTTAGCTCACCACACCTCACTTTGATCTCTATTCAGCCATAAAGTATACTGGTGTTGGATGGACTAAAGAGTTTACTTAAGTGATTTAGGAACAAAGAACTGGAAGGAACATCCTGGGACATTAAGTCCAGTCCACTGATATCACGGGCAACCATGTCATGTAATTGCTTTTGTGGACTGATCAAGTTCCATATTAAAAATAGTTAGTTCTTTTTTGTGTCCACTAACACTATGAGAAAGGTGTCCCAGAACTGTATTCCTGATTGTTAGAAGCCACCTCCTTATTTCCAGCTTCAATTTCTCCACAAACAATTTATGCCCATTTGTTCTTCTGCCCATATTGTCCTAAATTTAAATAGTCATTTTCCCACTCTGGCATGTTTATTTCCATATAGTGATGTCAATACAGAGATGTATCCTATCCCTGGCTTGGTTTTTTTGGTTTGCTAGGGTATTGGCAGGGAACCAGGCTGGGCCTGCAAAGTTGGGGGGAGGAGGAGGGAAATCCCTTCCCCCACCCAGACCTCTTAATAGCGGTAGGTAGCAGAAGCTGCTGGTTCAGCTTTGCAGTGGCCAGAGCTGGAGGGGTGGAATGAAGCCCCTTATCTTGCAGGCCCAACTTGTCTCCCCCCAATACCCCAGCCAAGGCAGCTGGAGGGAGCCCACAAGGCGAGGGGGCTCTATTCTACCCTGCCCCCACCCACTCCCAGCTCTGGCTAGGCAAAGCCCAGCTGGCAGCTCCACACTGCTCCCTCCCCCTCTGAACAGCCACAGAGTTGGTGGGGGGGGACAGGGCTGGAGAGAGGGGCAGTTTGTCAGCTTCTGGGGAGGCTGCTAAAGCACCCCTGCCTGCTGGTAGGGCTATGTGAAATGTTGCCCAGCATTTTGTTTCAAAGCTGTTTTGATGTGTTTCAAGCTTGAAACAGTGAAATCAAAATGAAACGAAAGCCTTTGAAACAGCTTCAGAAGGGAACAAGGGAACTCAAAACATTTTGAGTTTCGAAGCCAGGCTTACTGGCTTCAGTGCCAGTCCTAGCCAGCAGCATCCGCCTCTTCTCGTCCGGCAGGCAGATTGGGCTGTAGGAGCTGTGCCAGAGTCCTCCTGGGGGTGTGCCCCCGATCTGCCTGCCAGATGACAGACCAGCGCTGGGTGCAGCCCGCACCCAGTGCCGGGAAGATCGGTGCTGCTGCTGGCCCCAGGCAGCAGCACGTGGCTCCTGTCACCCAGTAAGCAGATCGGGGTCATGCACCCCCAGAAGGACTCAGGCACCGCCCCCACAGCCCTCCCGAGGGTGCCAGCAGGCCCCCGACTTGCCTGCTGGCTGACAGGAGCCAGGTCCTGCCGCCTGGGGCTAGTGGGTCCGGGGCAGATCAGATGGTGCGGGGACCCACCGCCCTGATCCCTGGGCAGGGGAGGGTCCCTGCACCAGATGATCTGCCCTGGAACCCCACCTGGATTCGGCTCCGGTACAGGGGACCAGCAGCAGTGATCTTCCCGGTGCTGGTCCCAGGTGGCAGCATCCAGCTTCTCTCATCTGACAGACAGATCAGGGGCTCACACCCCTGGGAGGACTCCAGCACAGCCCCAGAAGCCCTCCCAGGGGTGCAGGTGAGCCCCCGATCTGCCTGCCTGCTGCGTTTATGTTTCCCCATAATAACCTATGGGTGAAACATTGAAACAGCGTCGAAACAGCAACACAGGTTTGACAAAACAAAACAGAAAACTACCTTCGAAATGAAACAAAACTCGAAACGAAACACTGTTCTGTCAAATCGTTGAAATGGAAGTGGAATCAGAACGATGCTGTTTTACACAGCTCTACCTGCTGACCAAGGCTGGTGCAGGCAGGTTCAATCCCCCGCAACTCATCAGGCAAACATCTGTTGGGTCAGGGGTAGAGATGGGGTCTCTTAACTCATAGTGCTTTGTATAAAATGCCGTGAGTTAGAGTGCAGCTCCTTAGTGTCTCTAGGCACCCAAAGAGACTTGCCTAAGGTCACGCTTCCTGCCTCTAGTTGCATAAGAGTTGAGGTTTCTGAGGTTAGTGTATTGACAATATCACTTGTAATGCTACAATAAAATAAGGTTTGTTTAAAATATTCTTGGGATTTTGTTTTATATTTTATATTTTAAAAGGGAAAAGAGTCAATAGTTACACTGAAATGAACGTCCCTTGTGACTTTATTGTGCAGTGTGATCTGAGATTTGGTTGCGTCAGCTGTGACCATAGAATAGGGTCCACTGACAGTGCAATTGTAAATAGCAAATATGAAACCTACAGGCAAAAATATTTGATGATCTTTACAATCTACCCATCCTAGGCACTGGCCTGCATGTTAGCAGGAAAGATTCACACAGCACTAGGAATAGTTCCCTAAGGACACAACCCAGAAACAAGTGAGATTTCAAAGCGCTTTTGATAGCCACTCAGCATCTTTGCTCCTTTACTAGCTCCACTTACCTGTTTCTTTCCCTGCTAAATTCATTTTCCTTACAGGATCGTAAACATCTAACAAGGATAAATCATGTTCCGCTGCAATCTGGAATTCCCTTCCTTGCTGGAAACACTTAAAGATGTTGGCCTCAACCAAGGCTGCCAGGGTCTGGATCATCTTATTCTTAGTCCATTCTGGGAGGATGTGGAACAGCAGCTCTGTAGTGAAATTTTGCCCAATGACTGCTGCACACTTCACAATCATCTGCTCCGAAGGACTCATGTTGTCTATCTCAGCCAGTGCAATTCCTGCAAAAGCAAGTCAGCCATTTCCATTTCGCTTGCTCCTGTGAGAGGATGGTTATGGTGGTGAGGGCATGGAAATCCTGACTGGATCCTTGTCCTCTTTATTCTTGACAGCTAAACAGAGCTGTGAAAGCTCACTCCTCATTTGTCAGTTGTGGAAGCTGCTTTCACTGGTTATAGGGAAACCATCCTTTTTACTTTTTCCCTGCCCTTGATCCAGAACCCACTATAAATGGTCAGTCAGTTGATATGACTGCAGGTTTATTAAGCAGACCATGTTATATTAATGCATGTAATTCTTTGTTCTTCATGTGTCAAAAAAGCAGCTTCCCAGACTAGTAGCACAATTCTGTGGCTCCAAAGTACCCTCAATCAGTGTGACCAGTGAGAGAAAAAAATGCCTTGGATAAACACTTAATTTGTTTCAAGTCAATCAAAAATAGTTTTGAATTCAAGTATTGAATTTGGCAGATGGTCTGGACAAAAAGTGTTGGAAAATTTTACAAGACTTGAAAAATTGTGTTTCAAGATGTATAAATATCTTGATTCAATATGCCAGCAGCAGGGACTCGGGGAAAGTCTGTTCACCAGGGCCCCCCTTGGAGTCACCAGGAACAATGGCCACAAGCTGAGGGAGGATAGGTTTAGGTTAGATATTAGGAAGAACTACTTCACTGTAAGGGTGGCCAGAGCCTGGAATTGGCTTCCCAGAGAGGTGGTCCTCTCACCTTCCCTAGAAATCTTCAAGAGGAGACTGGATAGGCACCTGGCTGGGGTCTTTCTGGCTGGCCAGTGCTCCTTCCTGCCCATGGCAGGGGGTCGGACTCGATGATCTGTCTAGGTCCCTTCCCACTCATTGATTCTATGATTCGAGGCCAAATTAGGCACAGTTTCTTTTTTTTTTTTTAATTAGAAGTAAAACAATAAAGGTTTATTTAACCTCAAAGTAAGAGAGTGTGTGAGTGTGTGTTTCAACAAGAAAGGCAAAACATTTAACTATCTGATCAACCCAAAGCAGTATTTTGCTCTACATCAAACTAGAAAATTAATTCCCTGCACAGCTTATATGGATTATTGGATTGGAGCCATGGAGTGATATCCAGAACACACAGGACTTTGCAGGGCTGGATCTCAAGATCCAAACTTATTCCCTGACAGGAAAGGTCAGTCTGTCTTTAAAACTCAGAATCACCCTTCTCTGCAGTGTTTCATACCTGCACTGTCTGCAGCTTTCAGGTTTCCATACTTTTTAAGCTGCTATCCTTGTGGGGGCAGGGAGGAGCATTATACAGCCCCCCGATCAAAGAAGCCAGGCTCAGACCCTCACCTTTTAATGAAGGGGGAAGTGTTATATTCTGCAACTTCACATTCTGACAGATGGTACAAATGTATAACTCTTTCTCTGTGCTCTCTAAACTGGTGGATGATGACGTTTTGAAGGGCATGCCTTTGACTAGATTGGCTGCATGAAGAGAAAAACAGAAAAAGCAAGACTGGGCAAGATCTGCAAGGACTATACAGCCATTTTATTATACCCGTTGCCTGTAATAAATGCTACAAGTAAGAATACAACATGTTTCTTAGTGCAACCCCTTATTTCCACCATTTTCCAAGTCATTCGATTGTTTGGCCCAAGCTTTCCATGTTTGGTCCTTGCTCACAGGTAGTTTCCAAAAGTCACAGACTAGATCAAGCAAGTAGTCCATCTCATTTCATATTTTATCTTCACAAAATGCTTTCAAGGAAAGAGTGAACACTCCTTTATGGAAAATGGACAAAAGGCCTGTGGAGGGAGTATCATCTTGAATTCCAAGCAGTGAACACCTGGTTCATGTCCTGAAGGAGGACAGAAACAGAACCTAAAGAGGTTCTGTCCTTTATGTCAGGGGTTGGCAGGCTATGGCCCATGGGTCAGATCCAGACTGCAGAACCATTGGATCTGGCATGTGAGCCTAGGTGACTTTGGCAACATTCGGTGACAAGGGGCTTCAGTGGTGTTTATTTGTTGAGTGGCAGAGGGAAGCAGTGGCAATGGCAGTGGCAATGGCAGTGGCAGGATCATTCCAGCTATGGGGGGATCTAGAATTTTGAAAAGGGGGGTGCAGATGAAGAGATGCATCATCACATATAAAACAACACATATTTTTCTCCAGTTAAAAATATACTAGAAGTTTTATTAATATGTTAGGGGCCTATGGCTGTACTACTCAGTTTAAGATTGAAGCAAAAAACAATTGGAATAATTTAAAAATGATTTGCACTGCTGTGAAATACAACATTCATTACTAGGTGCAGGTAACAGACAGCAGAATTTTAGAACAAAGGGTAGCTTGACTAGTGGAATATCAAGGCCATTAAAAAGAAGAGAGGGTCATTAACACCTGTGGAATAAAGAATTTAGAAGGGATTAGGTAGATTACAATGAGCCATGAAGTCATATGACTTCATCAGTACTTCTTAACTAGAAATGCTGCTGCCACTGCCAGGAAATTGGTTTTAAACTTTGGATAGAGCAGGAATCTAAGGGGAAGAGGATGAAAGTGCACCCCCCTGGATCTGCTTCTATTTCCAGCTGACCCACACAAAAAGTGAATGGACTATTGCTCTATATTTTTATAGCTAGTGTAACTGCAGACGCTATTATAAACATCTAGCTCTTTGAAAGACTTTTTTTCTCAGTGATATGTCAGACCCACAGATTAATGATGTGATGTATAGAGAAATGTTTCCTTTAATGTTTTAAATCTGAATGTTACTGATAGTAGGAAATCAATGATTAACAGCCAGTTAACCAACTGAACCCTATCTGCCAAATTCAATCTTTTGCCATTCAGTAACAAACAAAAATATTCAGATAATCCAAAACTAACAAAGTTAGTATGTAACTAACAAAACAGTATAAACCAAAAAGAAAAAATATAAGAATACAAAGTAATAATTTTCGTACCAAGTTTCCTTCCTCTACCTTCTCTCTGAGGTGGAGAGCAATCCTGCTGATTTTACACCTCTATTCCCAACATGAGCATTTTGAAGTCTAACTTACATAGTCTAGGGAGTAAGGGTGGAAACATTCAAGGAATCTCTCTCCTGAAGACCCCACAGAACCAGATAAAGCCAGTTCTTCAGTTAAACAAAGCTGAACATCCTAGGAAAATCTGACTTTTAGGATGTTTGCCTCTTCATTTGGACAACTAATTGGTACTAGCCCATAAATTGCTCAACTAACACACTTATGTGTTCCACACTAGCTAAATTAAAGCTCATTAACACATTGGTTTTTTAGCAACTGTCAGAGAAGTCTAAGAAAACAACCCTTGGCATAAGCATGCGATCAAATTGCATAATTCAATAACCATCAACAATATACTGAACTGAGCCTACAGCATGCAATTTATATACAATCTTGTTGTCTGTAATGTATGTAAGCAACTTGCGTGTCAACAGTTGTTTTTGCATGCCACTGAGTCCCATGTTTTATTATTATGAGAAGCTGTAACAATGCATTGAAAAAGGCATAGCACAGAGCTGACACCTATTATTAAAGCTGTTACCACATAGCATTATAACCCTCCTTTTCAGTGTTTTATAACAAAATCCTAGTTTTGTCAGGATTTAAGCTCTGAGGTTGTAATTTTCCAGGTTTGGCTTTTGCTTTACACTGGGTACTTTTGAAACATTTGGTTTAAAGTGATACAGGTGTTTTGTCAATGGATTTTTCCCATTGTAAAACAAACAAAATACATGCTCCCATCTCTTTAGAACAGCTTTAGCAGCTAAAGAATTTGAAGTAGAAAAGGAAATTTGATCAGGGAAATTCACCTGAAGTTAAACAATTGTTTTTCAGTGAATCATTGAAAATCCACCTACATTTGTTGAAGTCATAGTAAAAAATAAACAAACAGACTGTCTTGTTCATCTATGCAGTAGGATTTACTCCATGGTTAGTCACTTTCTTTCCTAACCACAGGATCTCCAAGTTCAGTTTATGGCTATATTACACTGTTTCCAGGGTCATATAAGCATCTGGTAATTTTTTTTCCAAATCAACTGCACAGAAGTAACAGAAATGAGTTCTCCTCTTCCTGTTAGTATTTCTCAAACTATTCCTTGGCTAACAGAAAAAAACACTAGGCTGGGAAATAAGAAACAATGAGGTTTCTCCCCATTGTTTAGTATTAATCCTGATCAAGGTGTGATACCCTTACCCTAGAAGGAGGCATATCCCCCTCATCATCTAATGGAAAAACCTAAAGCCACGAGAGGCTGCACGAGGTCATTTCCAGTACAGCAGAGAATAGGAGCCAAGTCATGTGGAGGGAGGTGAGAGGAGAACAGAGCACTGTGGGATTCTGGAGGATTTATACATGCCCTGTCCCTGTGCGCACATAACTAGAAGTGAACTGTTCAAAAATAACAGCTCATTCCAAGAGGTTCTATTTTGGAGCACTTCAGCCAGTTTTGGAACATTTCAAAGGGCACGTACATTTGTATAACTAGCCCTTTGAAGTGTTTCAAAGGCATTTGAAAAATTTCACTTCTTACTTGTGTCCATACCCTGCCATAACCAGGAACAGAAGTCAGGACACCTGATAGCATTCTACTGCTGCCAGAAAGCTGTTGCACATTGTGGATTTTTCAGTATCCATTTCCCCTGCTTACACTGGTGCCCTTGCCCTTGCCCCCCGCCCCCACCTCCATCTCTCTCTCTCTCCTTCCTAGCCAACTCAGTTCTCCTTCCTTTTTACATTATCCCTCAATATGTCTCCTCCTTGTCCCAAGCACCCTCATTTGGTTTCCTGCTTTCCCTGAACCCCACCGATCAGTGGTTAACAAATGTCCAAAGAAGGGGTGAGAAATACTATGGAGGATGAGTTATTCTCTCGACTACAGTATAAAATGGTTCACAGCATGTGAAAAAGTAAATGAAGAGGAGCTTACTAAAAAGTTTCTCCCACTCATCCTCTATTTCTTCCTCTTCATCCAGCACATGGAACATGAGGGCATTGTGTAAATAGAGGTTCCGTAGCAGCTCTTCACAATAATATGGGATTCCATGGCTCCTTTGTATCAAGAACCTAAAGAGCGGTGAAATGGTCCTTTACTGATCCAGTACAGTAAAGGAATGAAACACATTTCAGGTGATAGAAGCCACTTTGAAAATGTTGTTCCAAGTGTGCACCTTTTGGATTAAACCTCCATTGCAAGGTTGTCTATTATTGCAGGGTATTGAACTTGGTGACCCAGGCAGTCCATTCCCCCCATGTTCCTAGGAAATCTAAGCAGTCCTGAAGACACAGAATGTTTCCTAGACTAAACGAGCAGCAGAATTAGGGCAGGGAATTAGCCTCTTAGGAAAACAACTTTATATTAATGAGATAATGAGTTTAAATACAATAAGCCATATCTTTTGCTCGTGTAAAGTCAATGGAAACAGGCCAGCCTACATCACCTTATGATTTGTCTCCTATTTTTTTAAGCGTATAAAACTATGTATCATTCAAAAATTTTACACCTCAGCTTACCACAAATGAAATCACTGATGGCATTTGTATGCATGCTTGCGCCTCAGTGCTGGGCGCATTTAAAAGTGCCCAGCGCTGTGGCGTGTGCATTTGTATAAAAGGCGAAATGCACATTAGCACTAAGAAAATGGCAGCAGCACATTTTTTAACTAAAACACGTCAAAAGTGTTTTAGTTCAAAAGTACACCACTGCCATTTTCTCAGTGCTAACATGCATTTGGTCATTTGTAGAAATGCATGCAACACAACGCCAGGCATGTCAGACTGTGTGCAGATTAATCGAGTCTGCTCCAACACGCCAGAGATCCAGCACATTGGAGCAGACAAATGTATGTGAATAAATGTCCGGAAAGCTTAGATCAGCTCTACTACCTCATTACTCAGTGAATACTACATTTGGCCCCACAAAGTTCTAAGCCTTCATTACTCTTCTCTAAGATTTTCCTTTAAAAGCCTTTCTTCCTTCTCCCATTGTACTGCCCTATTGGCAGGAAAACATTTCCCAATAAACTGCATCCAGTCCAGGGATGGGCAAAATGGCAGATCCAGCTGGCACTCAGACTCCATTTCCCAGTAGCTCCTGCCCAAGTCACTGTAGCCAGTTTCCTTGGAAACCCCAGGAGCAGCGTGGCCATGACAGAATGGGGCCAGAGTGTCCAGGGAGACTGGCCCCAGCAGCCCTGGCAGGGCAAGTGGCTGGACAAGGAGTTGCTGCAGGGATGGGGCCAGGGCCAGGGCCAGGATCTTGCGGCAATGACAGAGTGGTCCAGAGCCAGAGCAGAGCTGCGATCTGCTGCCTGCATGCCCTGCCAGGGCAGAGCTATGATTCATTGCCTGAATGCTGCCCCTGTCCAGGTATGTGGGCAGCAGATCACAGCTCTGACCTGGCTCCAGACCACACTATCACTTCTGCAAGACCCCTGCCACAAAGCAGCTCCCCAGCTCAGCCACTGCTCTGCCAGCACTGCTAGGGCCAGTCTCCATGGAAACCCTGGCCCCACACTGTCACAGCCCCACCACTCCTGGGGTCTCCATGGAAACCAACCACAGCAATGCAGGCAAGGCTTCTGAGAAATGGAGTCCACTGCAGACCTGATCTGGACCATGGGCCAGACTTTGTCTGCCCCCATCTAGTCCCTACCTTGTCTTATAAGTAAGGCAATGTGGCTTACTACTGAGAACACAGAGCAAGTATTTTGTTACTTACGTTTCTAGTTCCCTAGGGATACTAACTACTCCAAGGTCCTGGCAAGCTTTCTGCAGGATCACAGAAGGCTTCAGCTCCCTCAGCTGAACATAAGTGGTTTGGGGGCTCTTTATGATGTTTACTGCAGAGGAGCAAGGCTGCCGTGCTCTGTAGTGGAAAGGTGATAATGCCATGATCATAAAGATTGGGACTTTGGAGAGCAGGTTTTCCAAATATTCCCAGGAGGCAGAGTCAATGAACTGGGCTTCATCAATGACAAAAATGAGAAGGTCTTTCTTTACTGCCTGAAAAAAAAACCCAAAGAATCCCCAAATAAGGTATTGCTTCAATGCTGAGGAGTTTGTATTCAGGCCTAGACTGGGATGTAAGGCTGTCATAAAGACCACCCCAAGTCTTGTGACTGCTACTTCAACTATTGGGTGGAAGAGAAGCTGTAACACCCTTTTGTTGGTTAAATCAAGTACTGGGATCTGCATAAAAGTGAATCTATGGTCCCTCCTTTGTTCTATTCCTAAACCACCCTCAAATTGAATGTTTTATAGTGTACGCCTCACTGCAGCCATGTAGCCCACTGGCCCTTCCCCACTCATGCAGCCCCATATGTGAGGCTTAAGTGGGTAACGTACCAGCCCTCATGTCAGGGGCAATGTCACCTCCCCTAATTATATTTTATTTGCTACTTTGGGGTGTGGGTTGTATAGGAGAGAGAGGAGAACCAAGCTCTCAGACAAAGGCTAGAGCCAATTTAATAGAATATCCATGCAGTAAACTATGTTGGAAAAGAGGTCAAGTGCCACTCTACAAGAAGAGATCTGTCCAACTCCAGAGAACATGGCCTCTAATTTTATATATGCTTGAGTGAAGATTTGTAATGGGAATTAAAGTAGGGGCCATAAGCAGGGACTGCTTAAACAAAGGGTCCCAGGTACAACCATATTTCTAGCCTGCTGACACACTGTTCACTAGCAGAATATAAAATTCCTAGATGCAGGGTCAGGATGTTACTTTGCTGTTTTATGATGGACTGGATTACTCACTGTCTGTAGTATTTCCATAAGAAATTTTTCCATTTTTATTTTTCTTTCTTCACTGTCCATTTTAGAAACCTCCTCCGAGATAGGAAACTAATCAGAACATCAGAACAGATAGTTATAGACATGGTATTCCTGCCAATCATACATACATTCAGCAGAAGAGGCTTTAGGGAAAAGTCCCTCAGCTTATGGTGGTCCAAGTGTTATTCCCAGTGTCTACCCTTTTATGCAGAAACTACACAGTATAAAGTGTGAGGAGCTGTGGGTTCCACCGTCAGTCTAAAATCAACACAGCTGAACAGTGAAGCTACCAATAGTCCTGCCCTCCACTGGGGGATTATAAAAGGAAGCCAAAGGCTGCTGTTACTAAAGAGGAGATTTTTTAATTGAAGGAAAATTTTTCACCTCCCAAGTCAAATCAGCCAAATCAATTCCAAATCTGTGTGAATCATCCAAGAACCATATGTGGCCCTGCTAACAGCAAGTACCCTCCACCCCAGCCTGGGGCTTCAGGTACTTCCAAATCCTTTGGCAGGCATCCTACATGCAGGCCCTAGCCCAGAGACTTGGGGCTCAGAGGCCTCCGAGTTTCACTTGCCCTCGACTGTATGGCTGCAGGAGCAAGATAGGGAGAAGTCTCCCATTTCCATAAAGTCTGGGTGTAGCTGAGATCCTCCCACTGGAAGCTAGATTGGGAAGCTAACTATGAGGCTCTCGTAGGGAGTCTTGTCCACAAGCAGACAAAGGTACAACCCTCCACTACACAGTGCCATTTTAATTGAATTACCTTGGTCAGGGTATTTCCCCTGTCAGGTAAGTAAAGAGGAGATTGCCAGCAGCAAAGTCCAGCAACAGCCAGGGAGCAAGGAAAGCCAAATGTTAGAATTAGCTAGATCGGGGTGGGCAAAATACAGGCCACATCCATCCCACAAGGCCATTCTATCTGGCCCGTGGGGTGCCTAAAAAAATTTAGAAAATTAAAATGCATCTGTCCTTGGTTCCTGTCAAAGATAATAGGAACCAAGGGCAGTAGGACCAAGGGGAAGCCCTGGATGACTTCTTCAACAGCAGGGCCTGCCTGGCCCCAGCCCCACCCCTGCAGCCAGAAGGCCCAGTAGGGGCTTCTTGCCTGGGACCATGTGGCTGCCCCCGCGTGGGAAGCTCAGGTAAGTGGCAGGGGGGGGCAGGAGACGAGCTGCTGCTGAGCACAGGGAAAAGTGGCCCCTCCCCCACCCCATGTCCAGTACTCCCTGCTGCAGCCACTTGCAGCCCGCATGGGGCTGTCTGGAGCAGGCACAGCAAGCCCCACACAGGTTGCGAGTGGCTGCAGCGTGGGACACTGGGCACAGGGTGGGCGAGGGGCCACTTTTCCTGTGCTCAGCACCAGCTTTTAACCTGCCCCGCTGCCAGCCTGGGCCCCACGTCAGCTCTGGGCTCGGCCGTCGGGGCTACGTATGGCAACATCAGCTGCAACCACGCTGCTTGTCATGCCAGGCAGTTTGCTGCTGCTGCCCAGCATGCGAACTCTGGGCAGACAGCAGCAGCCAATGCTGCCTGGTGCAGCAAGTGTGGGGCCACAGCTGCTGCTGCCACAGCACAGCCCCAACGGGCAAGCCCAGAGCCAGCACGGGGCCCAGACTGGCAGCGGGGCGGGTTACAAGCTGGTGCTGAGTACAGGGGAATAGCGGCCCCTCACCTGCCCCGTGGCCAGTACCCTGCACTGTAGCCATATGCAGCCCACTTGTGGCTGTCTGTGCCTGCTCTGGACAGCCCTGCATGGCCTGCAAGTGTCTGCAGCAGCCACAGGGCAGGTGAGGGGCCACCTTTGCCCCCCATGCTCAGCACTAACCAGCAAACAGGGGGTCCGGGGTGTGTGCTGCCCCTGCCTGTACCATGGGGTTGGGGGGCACTGGGAGTGAGCAGGTGTGGGAGCAGGACCCGCACCTGAGTCCCAGGGTCAGCGCCAGCAGGGCCCAGAGAAGGCCAGCAGGGGTACAGGGTCCTGACTGGCAGGGACTCTATGGAGCCTGACCAGCTCCCTCCTCTCCCTGCTGGTGCAGCCCAGCTTGGCTCCACAGACCCCTGCCAGCCTGCGCCCCGCTCTGGGCCCCACCAATGCTGGCCATGGGACGTTGGTCTCAAGATGGTAATCAGGGGGTGGGGCATCTGTCAAGGGGCGGGGATACCCATGCGGCCTCAACGGCTTGCCACAACTTGGTAAACAGCCCTCCACCCGAAATAATTACCTGCCCTTGAGCTAGATGCAGCTGTGCTGGAGAGAGGGTCAGCTGATTAGAAGGGGCTGCACTTTGAGGCACTTAAAAGCCCCATCTCTCCAAGGGGTAAGGAGAGACTTGAGAGGGAGCTGAACTCCCCAGAGGCAGGGAAGGTACCTGGGACACCCCAACCAGCACTGAATGCCTGAAAC